CTATCACACAACAGAATGCCCAAGTATTTATATTCGTGCTCGTGTGGTATCACCTCCTGCTGTATTTCCAGCCCGGAGCAGTCGCCCACAAGGTGACCTGAGAACACCACCATCGCACTCTTCTTCGGATTGAACTGGAGTCTCATTTCGTTTCCGAAATCCGTCGTTATCCGAAGCAGCTTCTGCCTGTCCGTACGATTCTTCGCTATTAGTACCAGGTCATCGGCGAAGAGGAGTCCGGGCATACATGTACATTTTCTCTCTGCAACGTTCCAGAAGTCGCCCCGCTTCCTGATCTGGAAGCCTAGACCACTGTTGAGGAGGCGCCTCTCTAGTTCAGAGATGTACAGGGAGAACAGTATGCTACTCAGCGGGCAGCCCTGTTTAACTCCTTCGGAAGTGTGTAGCCAGTTGGACTCGGCTTCATCATGGACAATCTTTACTTTGTTGTCCGTGTAGATGAGCTGAAGCAAGGATATCCACGAGTGGTCCATCCCTAACTTACCGAGTGCCTTCCACAATAACTCCTTGTCTATTTTATCGAAGGCTCGGGAGCAGTCGAGGAAACATGCGACCATGCCTGTTTTGTTTTTCCACGACATCTCGATGGCTGACGTCAGCAGAAAAATGAATCATGTATTTTCAAAACATCCTAAGTCCTCTCCAAAAAAAAGACGACGAAGTGAAACCTGTCTGTAGTTTTGCCTAGAAGATATCGATCCAGGCTTGTGGGGTCATTTGTGAAAGCCCTCGCGGAGAGCTTTTAGAAAAAAAATATGAGACCTCACTCCCTCTCTATGTGTGTCTTCAATAAATAAAATGAGTGTTTGGACTTGGGATGTTTTGAAAATACATTTTTTTTCAACTCAAATCCGCTCTGGAATCTTCCAGTCCCCCAGGATGGTCGTAGGAGGCATTCTCAAAACGCCTGTAACGTCCGACCGAGTGGACCAATAGGGTCGAACGGGGCGGCGTTGGAAAGCTGGTGAGCTAGGCTACATTTTGAAAAAAACAAGCCTCCTGCGACTATCCTGAAGGATTTTACGGCGATTTTGAGATGAGGGAAAAATTCATCCTGGGAAGTTTTCGATCCAATGTTATCTCCATGAGGGAGGGGCCTAATCTTAAAAGGGCTGTAACTCCCGAACGGGCGGAGGTACAGTGTTGAACGGGGCGGCGTTGGGAAGCTGAGGACCTGAGCTACATTTTGAAAAAAAAATCAGCCTCCCACGACTATCCTGGGAGATTCCAGAGCAGATTCGAGTTGAAAAAAAAATGTATTTTCAAAACATCCCAAGTCCAGAGACTCATTTTATTTATTGAAGACACACATAGAGAGGGAGTAAGGTCTCACATTTTTTTTCTGAAAGCTCTCCGCGAGGGCTTTCAAAAATGACCCCACAAGCCTGGATCGGTATCTTCTAGGGGAAACTACAGACAGGTTTCACTTCGTCGTCTTTTTTTAGGAGTGGACTTCGGATGTTTTGAAACTACATGATTCAAATATTGTCGTCACCTCGCCTTCCGGTTCGGAAGCCATTCTGCATCTCCCCACAATTCAGATTGTGAACATCGAAGACGACAAGAACATGAAGAAATCAATTAGAATCGAAAATATGGAGTTATCGCGATTGCACATCGACATCCTGTGATAGTCTCGAGCTTTCGGAATTCATCGTCATTCGGCTCCCACTCTCCACTGCACGAGCTTTTCGCGATTCGGGAGCATAAGAACTCCGTGGTACTTCCCGAAGTGAATCACTGAGGCAGGCTAGAGGCTGGGGATGCCAAGACACGCTGCTGAGCCGGCCGAGAAGGTCCAGCGATACGCGGGGGAGTTGGGTTCGGGATATCTTACTGCCGACGGAGACGTTCTGTTTTGTGAAGCGTGCAAAATGACTGTGAATGCAGACAAGCGATACTACGTGGGACAGCATGTCCAAAGCGTGGGACACGTGAGACGACATCAGCTTGCGCAAATTTCATCCGAGGAAGGAGGTCTCGCGTCGGACTTATCGCCGAGAGAAAATTCGTTCAGCATGGATCTGTGCAGGATGATGGTGGAATCGAATATCAAACTGTACAAAAATCAGCAGCAGTCATTTCGGACCTTCATGCAGAAGCAGTGCCAGGCCGATCCCCCGAACCACACGACTCTTCGAAAGACCTATCTCAAGAAACTCTACGAGGGAACCGTTTACAAGCTAAGATCTTCCATCGGAGACAATCGAATCTGCATTTCTATCGATGAGACAGCTGATGTCAAGGGACAATTCGTTGTCAATACAGTCATCGGTGTCCTCAATCCCGAAACGCCATCCATCCCGTTCCTGCTCAACTCCGATACTGTCGGAAGAACCCATCAAACGACCGTGGCTCAGGCTTTCACGAATGCTCTGAATTTGCTGTGGCCCGACAGAGTCCATCATGAAAGAGTTCTGCTGTTTGTGACCGATTGAGCCTCCTGCATGAAGTCAGCCGGTCAATGTTTGCGTGTTCTCTTCCCTAAAATCATGCTAGTCACTTGCGTCTTTCATGGAGTTCATCGTCTTTGAGAGGAAATCCGCGTGTTATTCTCCAAAGTAGACAACTTGATCGCGAATATGAAAAAGGTATTTTCGAATATGAAATCACCCTCACGAATCCAGACGCTCCGGACAATCGTTCCGAATGTGCCCCAGCCTCCGCTACCGATCATTACTCGTTGGGGAACGTGGATCGCCGCCGCGTAGTATTATGCGGAACATTTCGTAGCACTTCATCAAGTTCTCGATGAACTTGATCTATCGGGAGCGGTGGCTATCGCCAAATCACAAGAGCTTTCTCGGGACTCTGGTGTGAGAGCGAATCTCACTTTCATAGCAGCCAATTTCTCCGAGTTTCCGCAGTACAAAACAAAATTAGAGAACAGCACCCAACCACTCAGCTGCACGCTGAGCCTCGTAAGGGATATCGGACGAAGCGGGGAATCTCTCGCTGGACCCACAGCCGCTTCGATAAAAGCTAAATTTCAGAGGATTCTTCACTCGAATCCTGGTCTGAGGACCATGGAAGAAATCTTGAAAGCGATACAGGGTAAAAGACCAGGAGCTGAACTAGCAAATCTATCAATCGCGGATGTCTCGGCACTGAAATACGCTCCTCTTGTTAGCGTAGATGTTGAAAGATCCTTCTCCCGCTACAAGAATACAAGTGTAATATCGTACTTCAAGAACCACTTCGAAAGAGGACACTCGTACTAGTTGGACTGGTGTTTCGAGAGTGACCGGACAGGCTCTCAGTTTATTGAACGTTCTCTCAGAGGGCGCCACCGTCGGTCGCCCGCCTAGCCTGCCTGACGTATTCTACAACTCTACATTTTCCCTCCTTGAAAAAGCGTACAATATATTATTTTTTTCCCTTCCGACCAGTAATATGCTAAAGCTCCATTTTGCAGAGCCAGACTGGAAAGCGCCTGATCCGCATGCGTTTCTTCCGCAAGCTCGGTGCGCTGGTGTCTTCTGAACTGCTCGATCTCATGCGCTTCCCCGATTCCAAGTCTCCCAGCCCGAGTGGATGGCTCGATTCTTCTTCCGGGACGAGCGTCCCCTCATCAGAACTCTCCGACGTCCTTCCTTCCGGCTCCTCCTCTAGTTGATCGCCGTGGGCATCAGTCCCTGTCTCCTCCTCTAGGTTTTCTGTTTTGACGCCCTCCGACTCCGGCACTGGCGTCTCTTGTAATTGATTACTGCTGGCGGTAAGCACCGGACCTACCTCGACTGTGGCCAGCTGTGGAGCCGCCACATTGGTGTCCTCGAAGAAGCCCGTTGACATCTCGAATGATTCGCAAGCGGAATCCCTTCTACGAGCCAGTCGATTGGCATGCCAAACTCGCTCGTCTGATGTCTGGAACGTGTCCTGTCCGATCTGACGCGTAATCCGGACAGGCTCTGAATACTTCTTCCCCCCTTTCGAGACAAACGGTTTCTGAATACGCACGAGATCGCCTTCTCGCAAATTGTACGAAAAAACGCAGTTTCTGAGTTTTTTCGTTTCCCGCGATTCCCCTTGTTGGCTGATCTCTGCTGACATCCAGTCTGGTTTTCGGTGGCCTCCCGTGGAGCAACACCGCCGGCGGAATACCCGTTGTTACTTGCGGCGTCGAATTATGTAGGCCAAGTATCTCCGCTAGACGATCTTTGATATTACCGCCGAGACTTTTCGCTGTCGCCAACATATGTCCAAGTGTTCGGTTGAATCTCTCTACTAGACCATTTGCTCTTGGGTGATTAGGACTTCTGACGTGTGAGACCCCACATTCCTGGAGGAAGTCTTGGAATTATCTAGAGATGAACTGGACACCATTGTCGGAGACCAATGTGACGGGTGCTCCCTCGCGGTTGAATAGTCGGGGTAAAAACGACACTACACGGCTTGTGGTGACCTCATTAACCAGTTCTACCGCTGCCCATTTCGAATGGTAGTCGATCACAACTATTGCAAAACGACATTGTACACCGAGAGTGCTATCCGGACCTCTAATGTCTATAGCGAGTCGTTGCCAAGGATTTTCTGGGAATTCCGTTGGACTCATAGGAGTAGAACTCGACAGGACTGTTTTGTCATGGTCTGAGCATAAGTCGCAACTCCGGAGAGCGTCTTCGATGAAACGGTCCATAGATGGCCACCAGTATCTCGCCCGTGAGCGCTGTTTCGTCCGAACGACTCCCGGGTGGGCATCGTCATAAGCCAGACGAAACGCGCGCATTCGTAGAGTCCGGAAGCGCAATACGCTCCGCTTTTAAGACTACACCGTCGGCGACAGATAACTCCGAAGAGACTGATTGATAATTTCCGAGTATTCCTCCGGGCGATTTTTTAGCAAGAGAGGAGACGAGTTCTGACAAATCGGCATCCTCGGACGTGTGTTGCGCTATCTCCCGCCAACTGAAAGGTTTGAGCTTTTCTTCTAATGCGGCTATAACAAGCTGAGTCGGATCATCGAGACTATAAGTTCTTGGGATTGGCAAGCGTGACAGCATATCCGGAACATTGTGGGTACTGCCACGTCGATATTCGACCGTGAAACTGTACTTTCGGAGTTTTTCCAGCCATCGACCTATTCTGAGAGGTCCCCTTCCGCTCCCCTTTGGGCTTAGGAGAGTTGTTAAGGCCTGATGGTTTGTGCGTACGAAGCGTCTACCCCAAAGATACTGGTGAAGGGGACTCCATCTTTGAGCAAGTTATTGAGCGGTGCCGCAAGTTTGGCGAAGTTTTCGATGAATTTTCGATAGTAGGAACACAGGCCCAAGAAACTTCGAACAGCCCTCTGGTTCGTTGGTACTGGGAACGAGCGGATTGCGGCTGTCTTCGAAGGAACGGGTTTTAAGCCGTTCTGCGTGATTCTATGGCCGAGGATGTTGAGCTCGGTGGTTCCGGAGAAGCATTTTTTTAGGTTCAGGGAGAGGTTCGCCCTGTCGAGGCATTCCAACACATCGCGGAGCCGCTCGTTGTGCTCTTCCAACGATTTCCCGAAAATGCACAGATCATCCAGGTATACGAGACAGTGCTTCCATTTCTTGCCTCGCAGGATGGAATCCATGAGTCGCTCGAACGTGGCTGGTCCGTTTGACAGGCCGAACGGCAGCACTCTGAACTCGAACAGTCCGTCCGGAGTGACGAAAGCAGTTTTCTCCTGATCTTGTTGGCTGAGCGGGCATTGGAAATACCCGGATTTCAGGTCGAGCGAAGAGAAGAAACTTGATCCCGTTAAACAATCCAGCGCGTCGTCAATCCTAGGGAGCGGATAAGTGTCTCTTTTTGTGACCTTATTGAGCTCTCTATAGTCAACGCAGAATCTGACGGATCCGTCTTTTTTCTTGACTAACACAACCGGACTATTCCATGGATTCGACGACGGCTCTGTTATACCCTGCTCGATCATTTTCTCCACTTCTCTGGCGATAATCTCTTGTTCCATGGGGGCATACCGTCTCGTGTATCTGCTTTTGACTGCTTCACTTTGTCCGGTGTTTATTGTGTGAGTGACTAGATGTGTGCGTCGAGGTGGTTCGTCTTTCCCTGGGAAGAGCGTTAGAAATTGTTCGAGTATTTCTCTTATGGATGAGCGTTCTGGTCTTGAGAGATCGGTGTTTATTCTAGTGTCGATTTCCTCTAGAATCTTCTTGTCGGCTGTGCTCTTACGACGCTGATCCGAGACGCCTAGAGGTTGTTGGGACAATGTCGCCAGCACCGGATTTCTGCCTCTTTCAGCGATTTCGTGAGCGACGGCTATGTGCATGCCTCGTGGAATTGTGATTCGTTCGTCTGTGTGATTTTCTAGGAGCAATGAGCTTTCGCTTCGATTTAACTCAAGGAGAGAGGCGGCGAAGAATGCGTTTTTCTTGACTAATAAAGCTTCTGACGGTTCGACTACCACCAAATCTGTTTTGTTGTTATTTCGAGCTTTGACTCTGATTTTAGGAACGGTTCTCGGTCCGAGGTTTATGCTGTCGACGGCGTATAATTTAATTTGAGTTGCGTTCTGCGTCTTAGTTTCTATGTTCTCGAAGTGCATTGCTCCTAGGTTAGCTCCAGGAACTGATGGCCAGGGCGAGGGGTTGAAATTATTGTCGTATTTGTTCCTAGAAAGCTTTAGCGTGTGCTGATCGAAATCAAGTACGGCCCCATAAGTACGTAAAAAGTTATCTCCCAAGACAAGATCGGTGGTGAGATGGTCGATGACGACAAATTCGTAGGGTACAAAATTGGAGCTTTTATTGACATCGACCAGGAGTACGCAGGAGCCGATCGTCGGAATCACAGAATTATTAGCCGAGCGTAGCGTCAATGGTTTGCTCGTTTGATCTACGATGAGCTTCACTTGATCTTTTCTCAAGTAGTCCGGATGCACGGCCGTGATGTCGGCTCCGGAGTCTACCAGCGCGATCGCGTCCGGATGGTTTCGGACTCGGACTGTGATTCTGTTCCTTCGAAAGTCCGCTGCGTCCCCACCCTTCGAAGAGGGGGTCGGGGACAGCGCACTCAGTTTCCCTGGTTGGTCCTCGGGGTGCCGGGCGGGCGTGCTGCGATGAACCCTTCGGCCCTGCTTAGGCAGAACTTGATGATGTGACCTGGACGGTTGCACCAGTTACATATGGGCTCACCCCCGGCCGTACGGCGGTTTCCGTGGTAGAACGGACCTTCGGACTGGACGCTCGTTCTGGGTACCACGACCTCCGTGGCCCTCGGACGACCTGCGCCGTGAGGCACGCGTTCCGGAGATTTCGGGCTCTCGAAGGATCGCTGCCTGGCGGAATGAACTCGACTTGGTTATCTCGCTCGGGCGACTGCGTTGAGAGCCGGGGAGTCTTCTTTGCTATTCAGGAAAGGCAGCGTTTCGTCGAGCTTTCTTACATGGTTGCGCAGTTCCGCGATTGTTTGCGGTGCCCTGCTGAGTACGTGCATTGACTGGTTGGGG